ATCCAACTGCTCCTATGAAAAGCAGATTTCTTTGCCCTGGAGTTTTCTACTTGTTTAGTGTCAATACATGCACATCTTGTGAGTGCATACTGCAGAGCTTTATTGAGTGGGACAAACTCCAGGAGGGAGCACTGTAGCCAATGCTTGACCAAATGTACCTTTTATGAGCACAAAATAATCATAACTTCTATTGCAGTAGGAAGAAATAATGTCGAAGTTGAAGTGTACATATTGTGATATATAAGATTTAAAATCACCAAGTATCTAATACCACAATGCAAAGTATCTTACAAAAATAAAAATAATCCCATGTTTGTTTATATAGTTTGATTTCAACAGAAGCTTCCAGTTTTAACTTTTGGAAAATATTTTCATAACCTCTCAAATTTCACTGCTGAATAGCATGACATATTGGGTTAATCAGAGTATACAGTTGAAAGCAAAAATCCTTGTAGGAAGTTTTTTTGTGTGTGTTTCTTTCCCTCTTCAAAGACAGATCTTTATTCCAGTTATAATATTAGTGTAACTGCATAGAAGTGTGATGTTAACCATTTAAAAATAGACTGCATTAATTAAGGATGTAATACTGAAATTATGCAGCACAAAGTCAATGCAATTTTATTCTTTATTCTTCATTATCTTTAATAAAAGTTGCAACAGGCCTCAAATCATGGCAAACCATTTGATAAGGACACAGTATGTCTTAAGCAGGCTAAAAGGGTGGAATACTTAATTTCCATAATTGGCCTAAGAAGGGAAGTCACACTCTAGCAAACTCTAGTAGTTTTCTGCAAAAACTGGGTAAAACAGTGATATTTAGTTTGCAACATCTCTTAGGGGAATCAGAGTACTGATTGTCAGTATAATTTAGAAGTCAGCTTTGGCCACAATCCAGACAACTACATGGCAGAGTATGTACATCCCGTGGGACTTTTGCTATTTAAGCAGTCCCCCATGCTGCTCAACAATCTGTACTAGCCACCTTCCCCTAAATTCTAGAAGTGGTTTGCTAGGCAGCAGGGTGTGTGTTTTGGGAGGATACAATCAAGTATCATTAACATACCGTTACTTCTCCAAGTGAGATATTTGATAGTCATTTCTTTTCATAGCCAAAATCTGTTTTCTGGTTTCTTACTTGTCAGGCCTCACTGATAAACGTAACTCTTTTCATAAAGCTATTGTTGCTGTTCCTTGCATTACTTACTTGCTAAGATTGTAGTTGCCTTTTAACAGGTGCCAGTCCTGTTTTCTAGAACTAGGCTATGCTTCTCTCTATTCTACAATTATGGGCTCTGGGATAGGTCTAAATCAAATGACGCCTCAGTTGAGGACCATCTTTGTTGCTCTCTCCATGTACTGAATACCTTATTTGAATTACATTTGTAGCCCTTTCATGATTTTGATACATTAACTGTATGGATCATTTGAGTCCTAGAAGATAAATTTGCATCTATGGATCTGATTGCAATCACCCACACATGGTGATTGCAATCACTCATATGCACACCATTTGCTGAACAGGCACTGATGTGCAATTTCCCACAACTAATAATTTTAAAAAGAAGCTAACACCCTGCTGGTCACGCGGGTCAGTGTTGTCAACTGTACAAGAGAAAATTATTTGTTCCATTTGTTTCAGCTGTTGAATGAATAGTTGAGCATAGAACCCATGACAGGTGCTCCTGAGCCCACCATTCTAGACATTTACACATTAAACTAGCCCTATTTGTTGCATTTTGAGAGATACATCCCCTCAGGGCAAATCTCTTGGGTGTTGCTTATTAGGGGTAGCAGTAGCAAATGGGGAAGAAAAAAGTGACATTTTCTTTTTCAGCTGCTCTGAGAATCCTCCCCTGCCCTCTACATGAAAAGTAGGTTTGGAAAAAGTGCTAACGGGACTTAAAAAACACCCCTAAGGTGAGGATTTTGCGTAGTGATGATATTGGGGCTAGAAGGTTAAACCCCGCACTGTCCCCTGAAAAGGCCTTTATGACTGGTAATTGGAAGAATTTGTGTGATCATAACATGGGGGGAGAAAAATGGTTAAGGCCTGGCTCTCCACTTGCCACCCCACCTGAGAATTGCCAGTCCCCCCATATGCAACAGTTAGGCTTTGAAGAAAGCTTCCCATTAGCATGAATGGAACTTTTGTTCTAAACCTAATTACATTAGGATAATGGTGAATCAGATCTAAGGCCAGGGGTTTCCCATCTCTGCTATATGGGAGGGTCGGGGTTGGGGATGGCTGCATGTCACAACCCATTAAGGTAAATCACCACAGCAGGTTGCCATGAAGTGCCAAGCAGCCATGATAAGCCTGACAGATGATTGGGCTCACTATAGTGACTTTCCTCACTCCCCAACCTGCTTTCCTGTCATTCCTCCAGGCAGTATCCAGTGGATTTTGCAGGAATCACAAACCAACAGATTCACCCACCAAAATAACTGTGGAACAGGAACATCTTCAGTTGGCATCTAAAAGAATATAAAGACGCCAACCTGATCTCTAGCAGGATAGGGTTCCATAATCGGGGTGTTATTAATGGAAAAGGCCCTCGCTATCTCTCTGCTCACCTCACTATGGGGAGAAACACAGAGGAGGGCCTCAGATGATGACTGCAGTGATCAGGCATGTACCTATGGAGAAAGTGCTCCCTCAGAAAGCCTGGCCCCAAACCTCTTAGGGCTTTCTATGTTATCATGAGCACTTGGGCCCACATGGCATGTGGCAGCCAATGTAGTCTGCATAAGATAGGCATGATGGGTTGTGCTGCATAACACAACAAGCAATCATTGAAGGGAGAAACTCTAGAACAGACACTTGTGCTTTACAGTGGTAATTTCATTCTCTCAAATGACCCCCCACCACCACAATGGGGCAAAGGTTCTCTTATTCTAATGACAGTATAGTCTTTTTCATAAAGATATTTACTGTATCACTTAAATTATATGCTACATACAGCAAGACAGGGTTTATTCATATTAGGAATATGTTAGGGTTTATTTATATTAGGAATCCTGCACTCTCATTATGAAGCATACATGTGGCCCAGGGCAGTTTTGAATAGCATGGGAAAAATAATGGTTCTCCTTAGCTGGCCAGTTTCCACAAACTAAGTAACAAATATGTCACATTATTATTTATACTGGGGAAATTTGCCATTTCAACTATGTTGAATATAATATTCATATTCTTCACAAACAGACTGATTACAAACATTACACTGTGTGTTCAAAGGGGGCAAAAGGTGCTTGAATATCTTGTCTTCACTTTTAGAATACTTGACTGTAGAAATAGTTTTAGAATTAATTTTAATGTCATGCTATTATGCAGCATTTAAGAAGTCTCAAGTGCAAAAACCTACAACTGTCCAATATATTCCTGCCCAGGCATGTTACAAGAACATATTCCTGGACAGAGTAAATTAAAATTGATTCAACCTTTTAGCTTCACTTTGCTGCTCTACTAGCATGTGGAACAGACCATGAAAGTACAATTGATAACACCAAGTCAATTTCAGTTTGCTTTCTGCAGTATACAGTGCAAACAGCAAAAGAAATGTTATCATGTTCCTTATTTATCCACAGTATTTCCACCTCTCCAAAGAACAATTTAAGACACTATATCTCAAGTCTCTGAATTCCTTGCAGTATAAAACATATTTTGGTTTAAATTAAAAATAGAATTCAACTATTATGATTCCTTCTTAATATATGTAACAGATTTTACAACTTTAGCATTGCCACAATTTTACTGATTAATAATCATGTCAATATGTTTTATTAAAAGTCAAAAGAGTTGAATGATTGCTTTCTGTATTTAGATCAGATTTTGGAGTTGTTAAAATAATCCTCTGCTCTCAAATTCTGCAACCAGAAATTACAGTTATCAGAAATGTTGATAGCAGCTTGTGAGGAAGAAGATGACTACTGTTCTGAGAGGCAACAGATAAGGGAGTAAGGATTAATCTGGGAGCAATAAGAAATGTAGGATGGTATATGAATTGCTATGCTCCTCCTAACAGACCTTCTCAACTTTTTGCATAAACTATGTCCCAATATTTTTAGTCATTTTTCTTGCGCTGGGAAAAATGATCTGTGCAGAAAGTGGTCTAAATGAAGAGAAAGAAATTATGAATTTCACTTCTTTCCTTAAGATATGAAGGCAGTTAGGAATTGATTAATAACTGTTCTGTGCCAGAAGACAGAGGAATGTGGTGTCAGTAGGTAAAGAGTGACAGCATCTTTCAGACAGAAATGTAACCACAGATTTCTGGTCTTACTGAACTCTTAAAAACTATGTTTGTCCTAAGATGACATAAAAGTCCAACATACAGACAAAAGCAGAGGAGTGAACAAGCTATCTCCAAGAAACCCCTTTCTAACTAAGCAACATAACAATCACAGGGCATGCTACAAGCATCAGTGTGTAAACCAGATTGACAGGTTTTCTTTTTTCTCCACAGAGAAGTATTCAATTATGTGAGCCTTCCCTTCAGTATTAAATGGTTCAGTTCAGGAACAGGTTTATTTCATCTTGTTCTCTGTGACGGACCTTACAACAGGTTTATAGAAACTCAGGTCCTCCAGAGTTTTCCAGAAGGTCCAACCCCAAAACCAGCAAGTGGTTGACTACTTTTGAGCTCTAGTGCTACATGTGATTTGTCAGTTTGTCTGGGGCCTGTTTTTAAAGCTTATATTCGGGCAAAGAAAAAGAACAGTGCATTTTATTTTGCATAATAGCATTACTTGCTATGGGTCTTTCAGATGGACTGTAATACATCTTGTACATATACCACTGAGAATGAAAAGGGCTACGGAACAGAATGGAATTTTTAACAAGGTATATATCCCAACTTGGTAACATGCAAGCACCAACTTTTTGAACTTAGTTTAACGTGTAACAAAATATGAACAGTGTTTTAGGTTTGCTTCCTTTTTTCTCAAGGTGACCGTGGGAAGAAATGTATTTGTCAAATAAAAAGAATTCCAAAGAATCATACAGAAAAGCCAAGCATTTATTTTGTGTTGTTAGAAGTGAAACATAACTTTAAAATTTAGTGTTAGAATAATTGTGAGTTCACATATGTATTTTCTGCCTGACATGCTATTAGCCAGGGAACACAGAGCTACTTTTTCAATAGAAAAACTGGATGTTAAACATACAGCTGATTCAGCTAGCTTGCTGATATTACCTGTTGCACTCTAGAAATATTTTAAGTCAACATCTTATAGGAATTTGTCTAATTCCCCATAAAGTACCCCTTCCTCTCTTAGAGGGAAGAGGCAGAAAGCATAAAATACTTGTTTCCTTTGGACAATCTGGCTGCAAGATACATATCTTGTTTTCAAAAGAGTAGCAGTACAATATTTACATTAACTCTGATCTCCATCACTGCTAGGATGGTCCCAATTACAGGCCCAAAATGAGCAGTAAACTAACCGTGTACATCGCAGTACTGTAAAAGAAGCATTCACATTGAAAACTGCTGTGATTTACAGTAGAAAACAGCAGAATCTCAGCAAGCTCATTCTTTAACTGAACTGAAAGAAATCAAATTAGGTCTTGAAAATGATACACTGTGGCTTTGATTGGCAGAACAAATGGTAATTGATCATGGCAAAAATACTGCAAATTCTGAAGATTATTCTTTTACACAAACATATACACGAAATACTCAAGTGCCTTGAGCAAAAAAAAAAAAAAATACATCCTATGGAAATATACCACTGATTTTAATGAGAAGTGCTTCCACATAATGTGTGTTGAAGATCAAGAAGACTGTTACTGAGAAATGACAAAGTACTTTGAAGAAAAAAAAAGTCAAGTCTCCAACATTTCCAACAGTAAAATCAGTTAGGGTGTTTTAAACCACTGATGTAAATAACTTTAAAAGTTCTTTTTAGTTTGGGTTGTTCTTTTTCACTGCTTAGATTTATACAAACAGTAGCTAATATGACATGGGCTTATTCACACACATGATCTCAAATAGAAAGTAATTTCTGAGTCAGCCCTTCTATTCTTTGCTATTCATTTTAAACAAAATGTACAGTTATCATTTGAACAAATGAACCTATAGGGCAAAGGGAATCTATAAAAAGCCTTTCAGTGGGATGGGTAAATTTTTCCACCTCCAAACAATCAACAAGATTTAAAGCTTGCCTCGGTAAACTGTTGTTTTTCATTTGTGCCTTGTTATTCTGCTCAACAGAACCCATACACCTACATTTTGCTCAGAATGTCACCAAGGTATGTTATTCATCATTGTCTGCAAAGAAAGAAGATGTAGAAATGTTTACTAGGATAATGGAAATAATTTATTAAACATATCTACTCTAAAAGCAAGTGATTCAACAGGGAGTGTATGTGAGAGAGAGAGAGAGAGTGAGAGAGAGAAGAAAATCTCCCCTCAAAGTAATGACAATTTACTAAGCGTATACGAGTAGTGTGTGAGTATCTTTTCAGTTAACAGTAAATCTTCTATTTACATTTCAGTTAATGCTTCTTCAGTTTAACCTTACATGATAAACTGCTATAAATGATGTGGTTTTCTAGTGTTAAAGCTACAGAGATTTATACTTTTATGTGCTGAAAGAAGACTAATGTATGGATAATGGTCTAGTTCTAGGAGACGGCTCAACATTTTAACACACTCACATACCTCCTCCCCTTTCCTCTTGAAAATTTCCCTCTCAGTTTCTTTTTTTGAAGCTAGCCATAATGTAGTGTGGCACCCATCTAAAACTGATGATAACTATGGTCAGATTTAGGCTGGAATTTGAAACCAGTATTAAAGGCAGTAAAAAATAACAAAGTTAGCATTAATGTTATATAGGTGAAACATTGCACCATGGTTAGTTTTGAAAGGAATTTACAATTTGAAGAGGTAAGGTGAAGTCCTTCAACTCTAGAGACTTTTTTCAACAGGTTTTCAACAAGTCAAATTATAACTACATTTTTATAAACAACCATAACCATTCATATTATAAAATTTATATTACATAAGGTGGACAGTATTCAATGGTGCCTGCACACTAACTGGATCTATTTTTAGCATGCAGGCAACATTAACAATGGGAACTTAATCCTGATGTAATTTAAAACAAGGAGAAATGCTTGTTTCCAGAACAGAGAAGGTCAAAAGAATTTGCAGAAGGAAGCTCCATCGACCTATTCTGGCAACAAGTGTTTCCACCTGTTTAAGGATTTCTTTAGCAAATAGAAGTTCCTGTTGTAACTTCCCAATGCATATGGGAACCATCAACCACAATCACAAACAAAAGAGTGACAACTTGCAGTTATAAAAGTTAGCACTTCACACACACAAACAGAAGAGGGGGAGGATAAGACAGTTTACCTTCCTGATAAGCTCCATCTGCCATTACTAAATGGAGAATTTTGGCATATTGATGCTTGTGTTCATTTCCTAAAATATTCTGCACTATTGTTGAACAAATATCAATGTTTTCATCTTCATCTTCATGTATAGCCTAAGATAAAAGGCATAGAGATATGCCATTTGAAATAATAAAAAGTTACCAATTCAATTCAAAAGTTACCAAGAAATAAAACCCCTGCCTCCTTATTTTTACTAGTTGTGATCTTCTGTAAAACTGTACAAGGACAACTAATTTGGTGGAAAGCAGAAACCCACCCCCACAGTCAATATGGATCATAATTCATAATTAGCCTTCCATTGTGTTCAAATAAAACATTTCACCAACCTTTATTTTCTCATAAACTTCAATGAATTTTTCAAAGCCTATTTCCTGCTCCAGATTACATCTCAGCTCTTCCAAATGATTAAAAACACTATCATACTCTTCACATTCACTAGCACTGTCACCATCACTGTTGTCTACAAAAGAAATAGAGGAATACATTTTAGCATTGTCTCTCTTTCATATTAATACCTATTACTCTATTATTTTTACTTATAAATGCTACTTTAGTGCTGAGACAGTGCATTTTTACTGTGTACTTAGATGCTAAAATAATACAATACAGAGAGTTTCCAACTAGTTCCAACTCACTGTTTTGGAAAGAATGCACTATGGAGATCTATTGGGTTCAGTATACTTCCATTAATTTAAGTTATTTCTGAGGACTGCTGGTGAAAATATAAATTCATTTCTCCTGCACTTGTAGCTATTTTTTTTAAAAAAAACAAGATTTCAAGTAAGATTCCTCTAAGTTTGCTATCTATAGTAAGGGAGCAATTTCACTGGATTGCCACCAGCTAGACTAATAGTGGGCAGAGTATAGATAACCAAAGGTTTTGCACTCCAACTTGAAGCATTCCTGACCATTGATCATCTTGACAGGGGCTTATGGGAACTGAAGCCCAGTTCTGCCTCTGACGCTGGAGGCTTCTGGGCTACTGCCACAGTTCATTCCATGGCGGTTGTATGGGAAGGGACTGGAAGGAAGTTTTCTTTCTGAAGTTATGGGGTGTGTACAGCTTTAGGAGGGAAACCTAACCTAGGATTGCTCTGTTAGCAACTGAAATTGCTTGTGTACACATCAATTTGTCAGAAACATCCCTCAGAAGGCACATAAAGAGCATTTCCAAGAGTATCCATATAAATTCCAAACCAAAAATGTACTTGAAATAGGGCATTGATACATACTCATACAACAGAACCCAAAGCAGTGTATAACTTTAAAAATCAATGTAGCTTTATATCTCATTAAATAGCTCATTCACGTGCAACTACCTTAGGTTTGTATCACTGGTGTTCATTGTAACCCATCCTGAATAGTCAAAAGATTCCAAGGAACAGAAAAATATACTGGATTTGTTTTTAAATAAGAAGTAAAAGAAAAGCTTTACTGTAAACTAGAATTTTTCAGCTAGTTAAGACATGCTTCAAGTAGTGCTACCAAAGGCCCTCCATGTGTTTGTATCAAGCTCATGCTCACCTACAATTGCATGGAAGAAATTTGGTGACACAGAAATCTAAGTGAGTGAGCGAGCCTATGGCAGCATGTAAGAAGCAAGGCGTTTTTTTCTGGGCAGCTCTCTATAAAGCAGACATCTCTAACAGAATGCCCTAACAAAAATGGCATGAGGGAAGCTTCAGAAATATAAGTATTTCATTAAAAGTTTGTGTTATCCTATAAACTATGAAAAGCTAAAACTATAAAACCTGGAAATTCCTCCTCAACCTCCCACATTTTATACAATGTTAGGGATTCCACCTTCTTACTGCTTTCAAGAAGAAATTGTACAAAGCTACCCTCTGCCTGTAGACTAGTGCATTGCACATGTGCAAAATTAGCAAACACTGTTTCAAGAGTCCGGGGAATCAGCAAATCTTGGAGATGTAGGGACAGGCTTAGACAGAGCTTTGACTTGATCTAGCTTAGGAATGCTCATATTCATATATTATATCTGCAAAAGCACAGTTCCTACTTTCTTTTTAACATACGCTTTGTAGTTAGATATGTCATAAGCAAATTAACTATGACTGTACATTAGATATAAGCTAACTGGATTTGCTTAAACTAAATTAATATGACAGTAACTGCATTGTTTATATACAGCAGGACCCGTTTCCATGAGGTTGGGTTCCAAGCCCCTCAGTAGATGCCTGAAACCACAGATAGTAGTGGACACTATACATACACATTTCTTTTTTCACAATTGCATAGACAGATGATTTGTTCTTACCACACATCCTAGCACCCTCAGAATACTTTTTTTTTCTTTCCATATGCAATCAAGAATTTTCACTTAAAGGAAGCACTTTATGCTCTTTGGCAATTTACAGCAGTTTACAATTTCTCTTTGGCACTTTATGACTTCTCTTTAGGACTCGGGTCGACTGTGGTTAAGTAAAAATGCAGTAACTCAAACCAGTGAATGCAGGGGTCCTGCTGTAGTTTTTATTTCCAACCTTTGGGAAGCCAGTGTTACAGTTTCAATCTCCACAGGCCAAGATAAACTCTGATCAAAAACAATTTAGAGCCATCACTTTATAAGAACAAATTATTAACTGGAATGGAAGTATACCTGAATGCCATTCTTCATTAAGAGCACTTTCGCTACTGGGATTGTTATCATCGTCATCCACCTCAGTACCATTTGCTAGGCATTCAGCTTTTAAAGTTGCTTCTTCCTCTTCACTGAACTCATCACTGGGCTGCTCTCTAAGCAATTGCTCCATTGAAGCCTGAAGCTCCTGCAAATCAGTATCTGCCTCTTCGAACATACTGCAACAGAAAACATTTGTGTGCCATGGTCAAATACAGGAGAGGCTGTTCTTTAGAAGGCCAGACTAAAATTGCAAAACATATCTTTACCAAGGACAATAGTTCAGCACTGGTCAAAATCACCCAAATATTCCAAGGGCTGAACCATGAGTTGGCCCTTTCCCATGTGGCTGCTGCAGCAAAATACTCCATGGGCTGTTACCATGTTGTATAGGAAACTCACTGATGCTTTGATCATATGTGTACTTGCCACAAGAATACTGCTCTCTGTCAGCACTACTATACTGGGATGCAAATTATCCAAGCAATTAAAACATAAATTGCCAGCGCAACCTGGGAGCTAATGTGCAGCAAACAGCTTTGTAGTAGTAACTTTACTGCAGAAGATAACATCCAGATTGGATGTACTTTTATTGTGGTAAATATTAAACATTTTACAGGTAATAAAATTCACTAATTCATGCTTTTGTTTCATGCTTTTGATGCTTTTGTTTCATGCTTTTCATGCACTAATTCATACTTTTCACGCTAGAGTTATGAGTCCAGTCTGATGGAGTGATATTCTTTCAAAAAACATGTAAGAAGGAACAATTTTGATATCTGTTCTGCAGAGCATATGAAACTACTAGTTTTCAGGTCTGAAGTGGATTTTTAGCCTGTTAGGATGGAAATGAAGAGACAACTGGAAGAAAGAATCTTAATACATTTTTAAGCTAGAAATGATAACCCAACGAAGTACTTCAAGGCACCAGATAAGGAGAAGTGAAACAGGGGTTCTTTGTCCCACTGCTTTACAAGCCATTAAAAGAGACCAGAGGAGGAAAAGAGTTGTCAGTGGCAAAATAGCTTAGAGACCAATACCTACTTTCTGAGGGGTCTGTGGCTAGGATAATGGGTTGAAAGTATCAAAGCAAATATGAATTGCTTAGCAACAAGATTTAAGTACTCCTAGGGTTAGTGCTTCATAACAGAACAGGTCAGCAGAACTTGCAGAAAGGTGTTTTGCTTATCCACTCATTTCTGGGGTTCCTATAAAGACCTAGCTCTCTGTTACACTGGTGATGGGTTCTGTTAGCACAATGGCATTAAGTGGATACACAGAAGCAGTATGGGATACTGCCCTGCATTTTATTTTATAAAAGAATGCATTTGTGGTAGCCTTTCTGTTTCAGATGTTTTGGATGAAAATGCCCAGGGTTCCTGATGAGCTGGAACTGAAAGAAGTTGAAGTCTAAAACCATCTGGAGAGCATCAGACTGAAAAAAAATGCTTGTTTGTTTGTTTGCTCACATGTCTTCAGAATCAGACTGTTCTCCTTTGACAGGTTCATCTTCCATATCCTCTATTTCAAGATTCTGTTGATTCTGTACATCAGCAACACTGGGAACATCAACTAATGTTCTATAGAGCTTGGAAAGATCTGGGAGTGAACAGGTTCTCAGTAACTGCAAAGAAATGTTAAATTACATAACCAGTTAAAATATTTTAACTAAAGGAATTAATTTTCACATAACTATACTAATAAAAGCAATATTTTTTAGTCTTGCAAGAAGGAACAGTTTGTTAATTATTTAAGGTGGAGGGATGGAGAAGAAATTAGAACACAAAAGCACAAGAATAGATAGAATTTTCATAAATCATTGTGCTCAAATAATGAAATTTTCCTCAAGATATAAAATGTACTGCAGTGCACATTCCAAACAATAACAGTACTAACACCATACACATCTTCAGACTGCTCACAACCTACATCTTGATAAAAGTTATTGCTAGACTAGCACATCCCAAATTTTTAGTCCATTTTCAGCCTAAAAAATGTTTGTACAAAGAGCAGTCTATGTAGGTTCAAATACATAATCCTTATGTAGACAGTTGAATACAACAGTTACTTAAGTACTACAAGTTTGCAGAGCAAATACATCCAGGTATTATAATCATATGTGATCATCTATACATAGGCTGCGCACCATTTCTTTCTTAGAAACATTTTTCATGCCAGTATACAGCAATAATTGAAGCCACACTTTTGTTGCATTGTGTGTGGCATAACTTGTCAAATGCATAAAACAAAAAGTTTACATTTCCAACTTAAGATTTCTATTGTCCGCTAATCTATAAACTGCACTGAAGGTTTTGTATACTTGCCTTTGGATTGTTTGCATCAAAGAGACCAGTAGAAAGACCTATCAACAGTGAATTTTTGCCTTTTGTTTTTTCTGGTGATACAGAGCGAGATCTTGTTGGAAGAGAATCATCAAGAGAAGACTGGGCTGACAGAACTGGAAAAGCTGTTAATCTTGGTTGATGCTGCCCTACCTTTTGGAAAAAGGGCTCAGGTTGCATAGAATCATTCATTTCTGGCATGAAAAAGAATAATTTTATTGATAAAGTCATCAATATAGAAAACATTATTTGAAAAATTATCAAAGAAATTACTTAATGTTTTGGATTATATTAGCAATGTTATCTAACTGCTATCAAGTGTCAGTTCTTAAAGCAGATTTGAAAGTTTTCTGAATAGGCTCACCTGCCTCTGTGTGTGTGTGTGTGTGTGTGTGTGTGTGTGTTCTCATTCATTCTCTCTCCAGGTTCTTGTTCAGTTGTGTGCCATCTCTTCAAGTTCAAGGCATTACTAAAAAACTGCAAGAAGCACCAATACAGCTTCTCCTTTTAGAGAAGGCAAGTCTAGCAACTGGGAACTTAACCTTCCTGAGGCAGAAGAACTGGAAATATTGTTGGAACAAACCTGCCTCTCCTTCCTTCCTTGCTTGCACTGCAGGACTGTTTAAATCTATGAAAGGGGTCAGAATAGATATGTAAAGAATATACTGGCAGTAGGCTATACTGTATGTGGTACATATAGTATGGTGTGTATTTAAACACACACACTCAGAGATAGCAACTTCTGATGGGAAAAAGGAGGACCTCAGATATAGTAGGATCATTGGAAGAGATAGCATTGATTCAGAATGCCTTTTTTGGAAGCCCAAACTCTGTGAAAAGCAGAAGGGAGCAGATATCACAATTTGTTTCAATGAAACCCAACTTATTTACCCTTCTAGCACATTGTGTGTTACTAGATATGTGACAAGGATCAAATTGATTGTAATATACACACAACAGTAGGGACACTGTCCTGTGAACACTGACTGGGGGACTTTGGATTTCTTGTAGCTCCTGCCTTGCAGGAGCTACAGAAAGAGCCATGCTAGCTCCTTCTCCAAAGATGCAGCAGGGCTTCAGAGAGGACAAAAAGAAATCAATTTCATTACTATTTGAGGTACAGACTTTGTGTCAAGTGGAATACAGACAATCAGTAAAGGCTCATATTTATAGTCGGGATGTATGGACTTTCTTCTACTCAGAAGTACACATTATCACAAGTGTACACTTGCACTAAGGCACATTTTTGTGCAAATTTGAATTCACCCAACACCCTCCTCAAATTAAAAATGCTCTGAAAATCTATAGAATCTGTGTGACTATGCATATAAAAAGTTGGCCCACTGTGGAATCCACAGTTCCAAATGACAGAAATCCGAACACATTTATTCTGTTACCTATTGTGGCAGGCAACCAACCTACGCTTCTTTTGCCCTTACCCTGCATCCTTTTTTGAACTTGGGCAGATTCAGGTTTGAACACAAATTTATCACCATCATGTGTATTTTAGGCATGAAAGTTACACTTTTGTTTCATAGCAATTTGTCAAGTTTTCTGCAAGTAATAATTTTTCTCAAAGATCAGCTCAGCCATTAAAGTCTCACTGGTGTTGAGATTGTTTACTTCCATTTGGTTTCAGTGGGGTATAGGAATGCAGCCAAAATATTCCTAAATTAGTAAAAGGGGAAAAAATCACCAGACACTTCTAATTCCATTTTAAATTGCTGACCTACTGCTGCTTCATCACTGAGTGATGTTTTCTTTGAATTTCCATCTCCTTCAGCATGATCTTCCTTGTTGTCACACTGGCTACTGTCAGTATGATCTTGTGACCTGTTAAAGATCATCACAACCAGGAACAATTATATAGGATATGTGTGCATCAGACTCTCAAAAATGGATTTCTAAAGTATAGGAGAAGGATAACTTACACTGGTTCCTTTACTTTTCCTTCTTTAATCCAAACATCAGTTGTAACAGGAAATTCATTTGTTTTGCATTTATTTTCTTTAGTTTCTTCTAACAATTCTGTTTCCAGGTCTTCAGGCTCTGTGAAAACAAGTTGCAAATGTAATGTTGAACTCATTTACTTGAATCAGTGTTAATTTCTATATGTTTAGTAATATTCAGCAGGAGCTGGTAAAACCTGTTTTTAATTGTTATGGATAAACATGCTTATGGATAGGTCTTATGAGAAGACATTCAAGGAACCCTTTAATTCTCATAGTTAAGCTGTGCTTAGTGTACAACTGGGAAGCAGCAGCAAGTCATGACTAATTAAAAACCAACTTTGGGACTTCATTAAAACTCTTGCATACACATTCTCTGTGTGCATCATCTTTGTCATTATGTTGGTATACTCTCACAAACCTTTAACAGACTTCAATTAAAACTATTTTATGCTCTGCTCCAAATAGGAGAATGTGTTTTGAATTTTGAATTGGAACATCTTACCATTTATCAAATCAGGCTTGGGCAATAACTGGATAAACTTAGGTGCAGAAAGCTTTTCTGGTGTAATTTTTTCAGTACTGTCAATTTCACCTGATGATTCTTCTCCAACTGGAGTTGCTGCTCTCATTTCACCATTTGTTTTTACCACTAATTCTTCCTTTGGAACTTCTGCAGTAAAATAAAGTATTTCCATATTAAATCTACACATTAAATTAGTTTCTGCATAGAAATAAAAAAGTAATCTGCCCAGATCTAATTAATGCTTCACAGACAGGGGGCTTCTCCAACACAAAGGGGAAAAATCTTGAAATTTTACGTGTGTTTGAAAGTGGAGATATTTAGGGTGGGTTTGCAGATCATTCTAAGCCATCTTGTGAGTAAGCAACAGTGGGTTGGTTGTTCATTGAAGAACTCATGGTATGCCCAATAGGTAATTGGGCTTGTTCTTCTCCTCCCTCCTCAATCCTCCAGTCAGCTCCAATCTGTATCCCAGATACCTGTGTGGCAGAACTTGTTTAGGCATCTCATCCCTCTCCACTCTGATTGCAAGCCCTTTTTGTTCAGCACTTTAGAAAAACTCAGTGCTTCAGAAGCATGCAAACTTGTTATTTGTTTTTTAAAATTACTTTCCTGCTTGTCTTTCAAAAGTGCAGCTATTGGACATCTGTCTAATATGTGCAGCCTTACTGGGTCACTAACTTATTATGTTTCAGTTGTCAAAGGGAGCATGGAGGAAGAGTAGGTGCTATACAAGAAAACTGACAAGACAAA